TGTTTAGGAAAATAATTCCTGTACTATTAGTATTTATCTAAAAAAAAAATGTACATACACAAAAATCTTTAAACCTGCCCTGATCTATATAAACTACCAAGAGCAATTAAAAGTTGCAGATGAACTAGTGCACCTTGACATTTAACCAAGTAAAAACTGACAGATATGGAAAACCACTTGAAAACAGCCAATGACCATATACACAGCCTAGATCTACATTAGGGAATAAGCACATCAATTCTAGAATTATGTATTTATGGAATTCATTTTCCCTTTTAATTAATAGAGAACAATCAAACAAACAAAAAAAAAAAACACACTGATTTAAAACTATAAGCACTAAAACTGAATTTCATCCTTAAGATAATTCCTGCCTCTCCCATATCACATTTGTGAGTAGCAAATATAAACAATGATTTCAAAAAACTGCATTCAATAAAAATTTGAAAAAAAATATTTGCATGCCATTGCTGAATAAATAGCAGCTTTGTATAAGCACTCACCTATAACAGTCTCTTACTCATCGGTAGCTATGCTATTTATGCAGGATTCTTAAAATGGCGTCTGACAGCACTGCACTGCCTCATTCCTGTACTGTAGTTAAAATGGTAGCAGTTTATTCAATAACAGTATCTCTTGTTTAAACAGCAGTGCTGTATTCAAAGCAACCATCTAAATACCAGAAATGATACGAAGTACGACAAAAGCATACCTGACATCTGAATGTTTATCTAAAAAGACATAAGACAGTTTTGTGAAGTCACAGGTTACTAGGGAAAATCACTCAATTTTAGATTCACTCTCCAGTTTGAGCCTCTCATATTTTAAGTTTCCTTTTGTAGAATCCCCTGCAAAATGCTCCATTTATACTAAGCAATTAAGATACACAAAATGTTTATTCAGCTGTCTGTATAGAGTAATGTTTAAGCTATTTACCTCTGCTGACATGCAGAGCCAAAATAGATATTTTTAATTTAAAGGACATGCAATTTCTTTTTAAAACCTTACTCTTTATCCAGTACATTCAAAATAGTGCCACAAAAGAGAAAATCTGGGGCAGGAGGGAGAACCTTGGTGTTATACGGTCCTCTGTAAGACTATAAACTAGAACTGAGGCCCAAGCAAGGCAACAAGAATAGCTATAGAATTCAGAAGCCAAAACCATAATTTGAGAACAATCATGTTTGAAAACAAAGGTTTATACTGGCTACATTAAGGATGTTGACATTCTGCTACAACATAATTTTAATCTCACAGTATTAAACAGATGGCACAACAACTACCAGTAAGGGGTTAACATAAGGATGACAAACAGCTATTAAATAAATAAGTTTCCGTTTCTATGTAGCAATTTCTAAATTAGAATTTAACCCAAGAATATGGGACACATTTGTTAAGAAAAAGTACTAAAAAATACTTTCTAAAGACAATTTAAAGGGCCAAGCTATGTGGCCTACTACAATGGTTTTCAGCCTGTGGTCTACAGACCCCTCAGAGCCTATGTAGTACTTTCCCTGGGTATTGCAGAAAATAGGTAAATCAAACCTATTCTATTAGGCTTAAATTCGTTGTAACAGGATTCATATGCTCATGGGAAAATGTAAGGGATACACAAATAACAAAATTTCAAAATTGATGTCTTAGTGAATAATACAATATTCTACATGGGCAAAGGTTACATTCAACTTTCATGATATTTATAGGATTCAGATCAGTATCCTGAATTCCAGACAAAGAAGAGGAGCACTTTCACAGAGATTTATCACCCCTTATCCAACTGTGCTGAAGTGGCACCATTACTATGCAAAACTGACCATCACCGATCACTTTCCAGCTACTGGATCCACATGACCAATACACTTGAAAACAAAGCAAAAAGAAAATCAAGGAAAGCCAAAACCAACAAACAAACAAAATACCAGAAGTGATATCACAAAATGGGAGACAGCTCACGAAGAAGAGCCAACTGAAGTTTGTGAACACTGATATGAAGAGGTAAATTTATAACTCAATCTATTTTTGATTTTTGAGCATGAAGTCCCTTTTAGTACGTGCCTCTTTAGTATCACTGTAGGTTTTCCCCTACATTTCAATATTCCTGCCTGAAGAGAGAGGGAAAAATGTCACATTTGGAGTGGTTTATACTCTGCACTTTTTTCATTCTCAGTATGTTAAGTAGTGTCATTTGTTTAAAGAAATCATTCATTTTTCCCTAGTACTATTTAGCTTCCAACTAAAACAGCTTGCCTGGGAAGAATGAGGGAGGCATGTAGCTTTTAAAAGGTACTGTTTGCATCGTAGCTTATAATCCGGATCACTCCTTTGTTTTTCCCCCACTGCATTCTTTGTCCAACTAATTATAAAAGTAACTGGATGCTGGCACTAAATAATAATGGCTAATCATACTCATCCTGGACGATACAAATTACTCGTTAGTAGCCAGAAAACGTAAAGTGCAATTATACGATTAACTGCTAGTTACATTAGAATAATGGCCATTTACTAGAAGCTGAATAAACCTCAGCTACACTGCTTCATATATGTTCTATCTAATTGTGAAATTCCCAAGATCCAGTCCTATAAAATCTTGGGCAGAAAGAATATGTGCTTTTCCCCCATGACTATCACTTTAACAAAACCCTATATTCCATCTGTCCTGAACAGCAGAAAATCTGCAGAGTGCTTCTTATTATGCAATCTATGAAAGTGAGTGATAGCATCGTACCTTGACAAAGCACCAAAAATACATGAAATTCTTCAGCTTGGCTGAATTTGCTTTACTTAGGTGGAACAAAGATGGTAGAAATTTCCAGAAGGCCTTTCTCAGTCTTGCCACTGCAATTGTCAATCTTTAACCTACCCTCTGCTTCTATTGGCTCGAGTACTCCATGGAGCAGCGCGATTGGGCTGATCTGTAAAACAACACTGCTGTCTCTACCTTGCCTCAGACATCTTGCTGCAATGCAGACATTTATTTTTTGTGAACTATAAAAGAATTATATTTGAGTGATTAAAAATAGTGAACCTTAACAGACTCACGATGCTATGTTTCATTTCATGTACAAGGGCAGCTTACACAAATATGCTTCACTGTCAGCAATGTGTCTGGAGGTGCAGATTTGAAACAGATCCTAGTTTAACAAAACCTGTGGGAGCCATTTTAATACAAGCTTTTTGATTGCAGATCACTTACTCCTGCTTCCTCACATTAAACAAATATTATGTTGTGCAATTTTTAAGACTGAAAGTAAACTGCTAACGTGTATAAACTAGTGCTACAAAAATTATATCCAAATGTAATTTCTGTTTTTAGCAATTGAAGAACGAAGAACAGAATAACTTCTTAGCTGTGTTAGCACCTTTATGTATGCTGAAAAATGCATTAAAATTGCATACAAAACTGCTATCACATGAAACTCAGAGGTACAACCCAGCAGTGTTTTAGGTTGCAAATTGAACTAGAGATTCTTACAATGTAATTTATTTTTTTTTTCGGGGGGGGGGGGGGGGGGGGGGGGGAAGTAAGCTAAGTGAGGTACTCAGAGTAACATACACAGGCAAACAACTAAGCAGAGGTAAATGCCTATGTTACAGAATGTTATCTTGGTAACCTTCCATAGAAGTTAACATGCAAGTGCACCTAGGTGCAGTCATTTTCAAAGCTACCTGAGCTCTACGTTCTTTCCTAAAATCATGAAAGTGTGTGAACTGCCAAAAAACAGCGCAAAAATTACATTAAAGCACAAAACAGCATCTTTCCTCTGCTTTTGTAATGTTTTTCATGATCACTGAAAAGCTACTTGTTAAAACAAGCATGCAAAGGTTACGATTAAAAGCTTAATAAAGGGCACAAAATGTTCTAAATCAGTTATGAATCAAGCAAGCTTATCTGAGATTATGCTTTGTATACTATCAAAAACATACATTCATTAAGTACCATTTACTTTACTTTGTAAGGTCATTTCATTGCTGAGCACTAGCGCTTTCATCACACCTCACAAACCTAATGAACAACCAAACTGCGCTTTACCCTACAAAAATGGTAATTAAGGATCTACAAACAAATAGCAAGTAGAATATTTTTCACTGGCCTGAGGTAAACAGTAAGTATAAGCTTCAAACTTCAGAAGCAAATTATCAAAAAAAGACGTGCATTCAAATTGGAACAGTTTACATGTACAAGTCCCTTAAAATGGACGCTAAACAAATCGGATTTTTTTTTTATATGGCTAACCACTAAAATCACTTCATCTACTGGACTAACTGAACCAGTAAAAGCAAAATGTTTGGAAAACTATAAAAAATGTTCAGAGTAGCATGCTGCTTACTTACCAACTGTTCAAGCACCCATCTCATTTTTCCAGTTAAGAAGATACAACAGGCTGGCAGATTTGGGAATTGATCAAAAAGGAATTTCTTGAAATAATTACGTAGCATTAAACCAAAAGTTAAAAAAGACAAAAAAAATAAGAACGAACAACATGTACTACTGTCATGAACCACAGATGATTTTATATCCTCTGGACTCCACAACAGAACTGTGGCTGATACAGTGTAAAACAAAAAGGCACAGATAAAAGGTACATTAGTTTATTCAAACTATGTAAAAGAAGAAAGCTAACAGTTCAAAAGCATTTTCCATAAAGAATCAGATTTGTAAACTGATGCACTGCTGCATTTTATTGAGCAGCTACCCATTTCCAAAATCTGCAGCATAAAAACTCCCTTTTAAAGGAACAAAATATTAACCATACAGTGTCTCTCAGAAAGAGAAACACATTGTATTAATTATTCCTGCAAGAAAAAGAATTCAATAATCGTTTTAAGTTAAGATAAGCTGCATAAAAAACATGATGCAACAGCACACCACCACCTAGGCCCAATATCTACAATCTGCCATTAGCACTTTTTGCTGATGTCTAGGTTTTTAAAAATCCCGTATTTTTTCATAGATAACTTATCTTAGCTATTCCATTCACTGTTTAGAAAGGTAAACTTGCCTGTTCTTCTGTCTGCCATTATCCCTGCTTGACTCCCTGTAGGGCAGTTAAATGCATCTGCTCCCTAGCTTCCATTTTCTCTTCAGCAGGCATGTGACACAACAGACAATAGTGCTGGCAAACTGCTCAGAGAGAGAAAGCTTCTTTGGAAAACCAGGATCTTGTTAAATTCTAAAAACACCATCCTCCTGTGCAGAAGTAGGTATGCCAAGGTTTTGCCAGTCTGTAAAATAAAGCTGTGGCTAATGGCTACTAACCATGTGACCCAAGAAAGCAAATTTAAACAGTTTCAACTTAATAAAGTGCTGTGGTGTGAGTTTTGCACAACAAATCACAGAGAATCACACTCTCAACCCACAACTCATAGGTCTTAGAGAAAAAAAAATGTAAAAAGTAAGGCTTACCTCTGTGGATGCATTGTTAACACAGTGTTATGTCAATACTTATAAAACATGGAGGACAGGCTCTCAGTACTCAGACAGAAAGGGCTTGGCACTTCAGCTTGATGATCTGTCTTCCCAATAAAAGCTAATCCTGGATTGGCTACTTTGCTAAATCTGAATGTAAAGCTTCAGGGGATTGGCTGAAACACTTCCTGAGCGATTATCTTTGTGCAGCTCTGGCAAGCAGGAGCCATCCTGTGCAGAGAGGAGACAGGCTAAGCTAGGCCCGTGGCAGCAAAAGAAACTTGGGAAGGGCCCCCAAATATCCACCTCCCCTATAAAATACACAGATTTTCAGGCCGAGGGAAGTGATCGCCAACTGCCTGCCTGAGCAAGCGTGCCCCAGCACGCCGCTGCTGAAGGCAGTTGGATATTTTAAACCTGAGGAAGGAAGAGTTCACCCAGGTCACAAAAGCTACGCGTTCCAAACAAAACGCTAAATTCACTTATCTGGTGGCCCGCAACGGGTTGCACGGGGAAAGCGAGGCCACAAGAGGACAAAACGTACTGGAAGTGAACGTGCACAGGAGGAACGGAAAAAAACACGTGGAAATTCGGGGAGAATCCTGCACACCAACACCCACTGGAGCAAGCACACGCTGACAGCGCGAGTGTTTTACATACTGCACGCCAAGCCCTGCATGGGAAAAACCTGACGGCTGATTTCTACAGAAACTAAGATACAATAGGAATTGCATTCTCAAAGAGGGCCGTTGGCATTCGTTGCGTGCCTTCCCCGTTTATAAAAAATGCTGCAGCGAACAGCCCAAAATATCAGTATCGCACCAGATACTGTATTCTCAAATTCCCGCCCCCCCCTGTGGCCCCCACCTTTCAGCCAGCTAGGGCTGGCTGTTCAACAAAAATCTGACTTCCGTATGAGTCGGCTGCAGCTGCAGTTTCCTGTCTATTAACCCTGTAGGACTTGGTACTTTTTAAGATACAAGGCAGGCCCTAAAAAGAAGTAGAATTCTTTACGTGGCACACTATCAGTGTGCGTTCACAAAAATGTTAATAGAGCTGTCCAGCTTTTTTTTTTTTTTTTTTTTTTTTTTTTGCTTTACCTTTTATCTTCTACTGAAATTCTGCAAATGAAACAAAATGAGAAAACAGCATGTAAGTGATCCATTTGATCTCGAGCCAATTCCCAAACATTTAATTCAAAAATGTATTAATTCCTTTTCCTAAAATTCTGTGATTCAGTTCTCTTTCCTAATGCAGTGAAAGTGGGAGGATTTATCACTGTGCCAGGAAGGAAGTGTAGACTCCACAAGTATTTCAAAGGTCAAATCTTTAGAAATGCCCTGCCAAGGCATTACATTCTGTTCAGAATTTTGCGTCTGTATTAGGTAGTTAGGTATTAACATTCTATAGCCATCAACAAATTATAATGGAAATTGTAGATGAAAAGGTGATTCTGACACATGCTGCATATTATCAAAGGATTATTTCTACAACAAGAAAAACTAATGGAGTTGTAGAGAGAGAACTTCAATATTAAAGCAAAAATTATCAAATGAGCTGAAATAACAAAAGCAAAATAAACATCATGCCAATAGATTTAAAATTGAGTGAAAATGATTATAGAAACCCCTCTCCCATAAATCAAGGCCAGTTGCAAACAAAATATATGCACTTCACTATCTTTACCCGAGTGCAAATTATGCCAGAAACAGTCACCACAAATAAGGCTTATGCCCCCCTTAGCTCCAACCAGCATCTTTCACGATATAACTACTTTACCATACAAACCTCTTTGCTTGTGAGCTGACATGACTCATACCTATGCTACCCAGTAAAACTAATACTGCTACGCTGCATTGTCCCACACTGAATTCAGATTATTTCTTGAGATATCATTGTCAAAGGAAAACTGCCAAACCATCCTATCACCATGCTTACATTTTTTTTGTGTTCCTGTGCTTTAGGCCGCAACAGTGGATTAACAGCCCAGAGTATAAATTCTCATCTCATAAGTAATTCTGGAGTCCCTGCTGGAAGCATTTTCCCTTTTTAGCTTTGGCAACGTTTTTCAGGGCAGGGAGCAGGAAGGCTCATGGATTACACTGGCAGCTTGTTCTGTTTTAGGAATGTAGCAGAAACAAGAGTGCTGCTATAAAGGGAATCGTACAGCCCACTGCAGCAGCAAGAAAGCACTGGAAATGCATGACATTCAAATGAACACTTGCATCAGTTTTAACAGTTTAAATCATTCAAGATCAGTTTCTTTTTTTTATTGCATACCTAAAGCTCTATGCCACTCAGAGATACCAGCCCCCAACGCACAAATATCCAAATTTTGATCTATGAAGTATATCTAAGTAAGAGAGGATTATTGGCCATTAACATTGATACTCATTAATTGACTGCTCTACTTCAATATTATTCTATTTATTAAATATATATACTAATGCCAATGAATTACAGCAAGGGAGTAAAACTTAACACACTGAATTTGTGCATGCCTTGTGCTAACCCAGACCTGACTCTGAGAATGCAGCAGCGCTGATGGTGGCTGGGAACACTGACAAACTGACACACTTGGACTGATAGGAGAGAAACAGCATGCAGCAGACAGAAGCAGTCTTAGAAAAGGCCTAGAGTCCTATCCTCTTGATTCAAGAAAATGGTGGCCCAAATGCAAATGAAAAATTTACAATCCTTCAGTGATTAACAAGAACAAGGATGAAAACATAGGAAGTAAATCTGACAACTGCATTCAGCCGTTAGACATGCTATTAAAGTAGAAAAAATAATTCTGTCAGGAATCAGGAGGGAAAAGCATTAAATATCCTTCTCTTTGTTTTCTTGTCCCTACATACACTTTACAACTGGAGATACAAGCCCAGTAAAACAACACACAGGTACATCTGGAAAACTCAGAAGATTCTGTCTGTTAAGTTACAATGAACTCATGTCCTGCGCGACTGATTATTTTACATAGGAGTGGTGATTTTTTTTGGAGGGGGAAGGGAAGGAAGGGAAAGGAAAAGAAAACAAAAGAGAGACAGGGGAAGCTAAAAGCTTTGTTAAAGCAGAAGAGAGGGCGGAGAGATTAGCTAGTATTTGTCCTTTTCAGTGCTTTGGAGATGCTAAGGGAAAACATGGCTGTGATGCAGGGGAAAAAAAAAAAAAAAAAAAAAAAAAAAAAAAAGCTAAAGAGAGAAACCAAGGGAAAGATGGAAAGCACAGATACAATCAAAAGGAAATTAAAGATAACAATGTTAGAAATGCAACCTACTATATTTAGAGTTCTTTGCAAAGAACTGTGCCCACTGTGCTGAATCTCCAGAAAGTGCACACATCAAACACCATTGTCAAAAAGAAAGAAAAAAAAACCATGCATTTTAAGCCACTATACTGCTAAATAATTTTTTATGAGGCTTTCCAGTATATAAGTCACACCACCAAGGAAGAGAATTTTTTTATGTGACAGAAGCAGGGGTTTTGATATACGCCCCTACAGGAAGCAGACAGTTATTCACAGTCCCCCAAAAAATAAGTACTGTAGGGTGAAAGTATCAGTGGCAGAAAGGGATACATAGGTGATGGACAAAAGATGAAGCTTTAGAAATAACATTTTGAACAGATACACAAAAGGAAGAATGTCATATTGTCAAAGGATTAGCAAAACACAAGGGAAAGACGTTGCATTTAAGGGCTTTTAGCTTCATCCTGCATTTCCAAGTCATTGACTGAGAATGCTAATTTCTAGATTAGAAACATGAAATATTGTACTTCAGTATCCTTCAAGAGTCCCCTTTCCCCACCCCCTTCTACACTTTAATCTGAATCTACCCAAGTATCAGTAACTGCTTAAAGACCAGAGGACAAGACTGCCAGCTGACAAAGAATCCAGCAAGATCTGGAAAGACAGCTCCTGAAATTTTAGAATCATGCTGGATGCTAAATTTATTAACTTGCCTAAGAAGGCTGGTAATTCTGTCAATTACACCAGAAGGTGTACTGCTGGAGAACTCCATTTGTCCTGGTGAATAACATCTTTGCATACTTTTGATTTAGGTTACTTGTGGATGACACTGATAAATCACTGTCTAGGGATTAAAATTCTGATTTTGTTTGTAATACACACTGAATGTCTGGAGCATTATGAAATTTTCTTTTGACAGCCTTTTTAACTACTGCCTCATGTACGTTTGCTTCCAAAGAAAATCTCCATTAATGTTCAATCATCTGTCAAAATCTTCTTTTTTATCCAAAAAAAAAACAAAACAAACAAACAAAAAAAAAAAACCAACAACAACAAAACACAAAACCACACCCTTGAGCCTTGTTTTAGCAGCTGTACCTATTTCAAAAGAGGTGCTATGGCCTATGTTATCTTAAGGCATAAGGCCATGTATTTAATCTCTTTCACCCCTAGATTAGATTTAACAGCTGTGAGTAGGGCTGTTGGATATCCTATATAAAACAGGATTTTTGTTAGTATACGTTTAAATTGGATGTTCTATAGGAAAGCCTACCAGATATAATTTATTTTGCATTTGATCTGCAACCAAATACTTTTTTTTTAGTTACCTGGAAAGCTGCTGCGTGACATATGCAGATATACTGCATGTCAGACCTAAAGCATATCCACCTTGCAGCTGAACCACACCAGAGTGCATGTGAATTTATCATGGCCAGACTGTACTAACACAGTGATGAGCCCAACTCACTGCACATGCAAGGCTTGTGGGTATCAGGATGTAGAAACCCTGCATGAGAACTGCATACAAAATCCTGAAAGAAGTCTGTGTTTCACCAAGGGGTTCTAAT